GCTTATGTAAGGTCTGTCGTATATCTGGCATGTTTGAAAAGAAGTAATGAAAGAATGAATGATGTATGTTTGTGACAGTGTGAAGGAAGACAGTCCTCTCACAGCAGGTGAAAATAGCCTTCTGTGGTTTAACTGTTAAAGGTTGCAGTAACATCAAGTCAACAGTTAAGGAATACTAAATACTAAATCATGCATTCACCCTGACGGCTGAAGACTACAAGCAACGACCCCCTTGAAGACTGCAGACCACAAAGCCAGAAGATCATGTCCTACCAATGCCAGCCTGCCAACAGGACAAGGAGGATAACCCTTGCGTCTAACTCAGCGGAGTCCATAGGCTTGTATGGACAGCTATCACTATAAAGAATGAACAAAAAGAAAAAGGCTTTGGGTCTGTCAACCTGCAAGAAGGAGTTTTGGGTGTGTCCAACAAGACCTGACTCCATTCCTCGTGGTCAGTCCAGCCCGCCACCAGACTGACCCAAGCAATTTTAGAACTTGGTAACACCTTAACCTTTGCAGGACTGTCTAACTATCTGTGTATGTGCTTGTTTCTTCTGTATGTATTAATGAATGAATGAATGAATAGAGTATGTATAGGAATGAGTGAAGCAGATAACCTTACTGTTCTTTATTATTTTTATGTTGCATGTTTCTATTTTATGTTCTAATAAATGTGGTGTTGTGCCTTATCCCCCAATAAGATTCCTGCTGGTTTTTAATTCACACTGTATGCCCTGCGCGGACAACAACCCCAAGAGCTTTACATGCTTAAACTTTGTATAAACTTAATATTAGGGGTGCACAGATAGGGATTTTTGAGGCAGATACCAATAGCCAATATTTAAGGAGGCATATTGGCTGATACTAATCCAATACACTGCCTATAGCAGGCAAGTCTGATGTGGTAAGAGAAGGGGCGGTGGGAGGGGGAGTGGGAAGAGGCGTGGGGGAGCAAATCAAGGCCCCACCATGAGGGAGGCAGGGTCTGGGGCAGGGGCAAGCGCTGCCCAGCCGGGAAGGGTGGGCCAGGGATAAAGCCACAGCTCATTTTGGGGGGCATGGGATGGAGCAGGGCTCAATTGGGGCAGGGGGGGAGCTGGTTCCTGCCACTGTGTGCGGCTAGTCCAGCAGCTTGGCTGCTGGCTCCAACCACTGCTGCTGTCACTCACCCAGGAGGCCACAGGGGGGCATGTGTCCCCAGATCTGTGCGGAGCTTGACGGGCTGGGGCCAAGGCTGTCCCCAGCAGAGCCTGGGCCTAATGGCGAGCAGGGCTGCACCGTTGGGAGTAGGAGGCTATGACAAATTTTGGCATGGCTGCAGCCCTCCCCGTAGCCCCCTTGCAGCAACGCCACCCCCCACCCCGCCCGGCCCAGCTCCGCTGGGAACTGCCCCAGCCCCAATCTGCCCCACGCAGATCTGGGGCCTGTCCCCAGTGAAGCCTGGGCCAGGTGGGGCAGGGGGCGGCACCACTGTGAGGACCCTACAGGGGGTTTGCAGCCCACCTGAAATTTGCTGTAGCCCCCTCATAGCCCCCACTCCCATTGGCACTGCTGCCCACCCTGCCCAGCCGCAGCTCTGCTGGAAACAGCCCCAGCCC